ATATATATAATAAAATTAAAACGGAACAGTAGAGAAAATCCGATCAGAATGACAAAATAAACTAAGCATCCACTGGAAGGAATCTCAATATCTGCAGACGGATCCATTTCGGCCTTCCAGGCCTCATCAGTGCAGCTAGGGTATAGACCCAAACGAAACGTTGGACCAGCTTAGGTAGGTCCCAAACTAGTCCCACGACCACTAATGATTACAGAGACAAACCAAGGCAATATAATCAATCCTGTCATGAAAAAATCACTCAACTGACATTTTTTTTGAAATTCACTTTTTTGGCTTTTTGGGCTCTTCATGATAGTATACAACATGTGATGTATTCAGATTTTTAAAAATATAACTGAAAATATGAAATTAAAAAATTAAAAAATCACTCAACTGCAATGCTGTTTCAGTCTTGACAACAAAGACTCACTCAACTGCAAAAACCATGAAAGAACCAACTTAACTGTGATTTAACACCTATTATGTAATGGCTTGTTATGGAGGACTCACTTAACTGCACAGTGTGTTACTATTTATCTTGCTATGGAAGACACCACTTAACTGCTCAGTGGGTAATTAGGAGACACTTTTAAAGATACATCATATTAATTACTGTTATTAATATAATCACCTTTTTGATTTCAAAATACGATCTTGGTTATAAGAAAGCATTTCACAGCACAAATACCATTTTAGTATTGCTTGTCATAAACACTGTGTATCAATAAATTAATATTATATTCTGAAGTTCCAGTTATTTTTATTTTTTGTGAATTTAAATTTTAAAAGGTAAATTAAAATTGTGGTTACAGTATTAAAATGAGGTTGACATTTTGTTGATCTTAAATAACAACGAATAATCAACTAGTGTATATAAAGCCTGGGAATGCTGGCTAAGTGCAAGTCTCAGGGAAAGAAATAAACAACTTAAATAATCAATTGAGAAATATTTTACCACTTGATGTCAAGCCTTCGTTCACAAAGCATTATAATAATGTCGGTCACTGTTAAAGGAATGTTCTCATATCTTAAAGAGAGGTGAGTTGATTTTTTTAAATTCTTATTTGTAGCTTGTATCAGGCATCCAGTAATTAAGATTAAAACTGGAAAATTTTACTCATTTGTATAATCATGGAGGAATTAGTTTAGTCAGTGTCAGTTTATGAAAGCATTCATTCTACATAAAAATAAAATAAGCCTATTGTGTCGCTAGGTAAACTACCAACGCGTACAATGTCTGCGCACCACGATATTCGAATTCACAATTTTGTTTAGCTTATTATTCTATTCTTCAATTTGAATGAGTGTGATCATAGTGTATCAGCTTTTTCACATTACAATAATGTTTTATAACAAATTGAGATACAGCATTCCATGTGTATTTTATATTTCAGAGGAGTGATTTAAGATCACAATGATGAAACTAATGAGCCTCTTTCTAATGAACATGTAGAAGAAAACATAAGGTGTGGATTACCAATGTCCTAGTTATTATAAATGTCTTAGTCTTACCTAATATTTGTAATGTAGGCCTAAGTTGTTTTAATGAAATTATTATGGCGCAAGAGTTTACTGTGTGGGTCGCTATTGCTTACTAACAATATTTATCTAGGCCTATATCATCCTATCAAGAATATAAAAGTGACGGAAAGGGGATCTTTTTAAAGATTGGCCATGTGAAATGGATTTTTATAATTTATCGTACCAACTAATATAAAACCATTTGTGATGCAAATCTAATACTGTATAAAGAAGTAAAACTTAAAATAATGTGTCATTAGTTATATTCTAGCCCTACTGTATTTTAATTTAATAAATCAGTAGTTCAATTAATTGGCTTGCAATTTATTGTCAAATTACTTTGATTTATACAAACTAGAAAATTTTACTCATTTGTATAATCATGGAGGAATTAGTTTAGTCAGTGTCAGTTTATGAATGCATTCATTCTACATAAAAATAAAATAAGCCTGTTGTGTTGCTAGGTAAACTACCAACGCGTACAATGTCTACGCACCACGATATTTAAATTCACAATTTTGTTTAGCTTATTATTCTATTCTTCATTTTGAATGAGTGCGATCATAGTGTATCAGCTTTTTCACATTACTATAATGTTTTATAACAAATTGAGATACAGCATTCCATGTGTATTTTATATTTCAGAGGAGTGATTAAAGATCACAATGATGAAACTAATGAGCCTCTTTCTAATGAACATGTAGAAGAAAACATAAGGTGAGGATTACCAATGTCCTAGTTATTATAAATGTCTTACCTAATATTTGTAATGTAGGCCTAAGTTGTTTTAATGAAATGAATATAGCGCAAGAGTTTACTGTGTGGGTCGCTATTGCTTACTAACAATATTTATCTAGGCCTATATCATCCTATCAAGAATATAAAAGTGACGGAAAGGGGATCTTTTTAAAGATTGGCCATGTGAAATGGAATTTTATAATTTATCGTACCAACTAATATAAAACCATTTGTGATGCAAATCTAATACTGTCATTACGACAATATTTTGCTAGCAGTGCAATTTTATTCCCTGAATTCGACCTCAAGGTAGCTTCCTCTCATGGGCTAACGGTACACTGTGGGTGATCAGTCAAGCGCGTAACGGCTTTGAAACAGTTCATTTGTAATTTAGGGGGTTCCACAACTACAAATTAAACGCCGTAACATTTTCATATGGAATTTCAATTTTTATTCTAAACAACATACATAATTATCTAAATACCATTCACAGTTTTATTTTTACCCTCAAAAGAAGACATTTTCTACCCTGCTTTACAGTCTTCACCACTCACATGTACGTAGTCATGTACACATAAGAAAATGGAATCGACCATCTCAAACCAGTGAACCCCTCGAAAAAATGGGGTGTTTTACAAAAACTGACATTTATATACTGCTGGTACTAAAAATCTATACGTTTTTACTGCATATGATTTACATAATTTGAATCTCTATCCTTTTCTTTTGCCAATGATCATAATTTTAGTGTTTAAAAATAAGGATAATTTAGTCATTTTATCTGTTTTTCCAGAGTATATTTCAAGCTCTGCCTCCACGTGAGCATCAGACTGCCATATGCTTGTAATGCTTAAGCATATGGTGAGGAGTTTTGGATGATTTTCATAAATCTGATTGGTCCGATAAAACTGCTCAACCGATCAATCTTATATTTACAATACATTTAGAAGACAAAAAGGGCTTTCGAATGGACTTTTCCCAAAAGAAATCGGCCCACAACTTTCGACTGTAGAGGGATTTATGTTAAAGACAGCTGGAATATTTCGGCAGATTTCACTGTTTTTACGCTGAAAAAATACACGATAAAGGTGTTAACATTACACTTATAAATTTGTAATTGTTGTAATGATTATTAAATTCCGATCAGTTTTATCTTTTCCCAAAAAAAATCGATAAAGTATTTGCGAAGTTATTACAAAAAGAAGTTGAAAAATGACCAAATTTAGTGGTTTTTGGCGACCTTCACTGCCGTTTTATCGAATTTAGACACGAAATATTGTCGTAATGTATAAAGAAGTAAAACTTAAAATAATGTGTCATTAGTTATATTCTAGCCCTACTGTATTTTAATTTAATAAATCAGTAGTTCAATTAATTGGCTTGCAATTTATTGTCAAATTACTTTGATTTATACTACTTCGTTCTATATTTTACCTGATATAACTTATTTGCCTCTATCATTATTATTTTATATGTTTTTTTAGAGTACATAAGCTGCTATTAATAAGGTAAATAATTGGCTCGAGGGTTGCAGTGGAAATGGAAGGTAAGCTATTCCTGCTTGATTCATATTTAGACTTAATTTCTGTTTACAATAATTAACAGTAAGATATATACACATGAAATATAATACATATATGTGGTAAAGACAAGCCAAACCAGTCACTGGTCGCAAAAATCAATTTTTAGTTATTAATACAGGGTTGAAGAGTAAAATGAGAGCTAAAAAATGGTAAAAAATCTTATAAATCCGACATTTCCTTATGAAGTTACAAGAATTTAACATAGAGTTGTTTATTATTTCGGGCATTTCTCAAGCAAAGATTATCACCAAATCGTTAAAAATTGTTGTTTTAACATTAGAAATTGGGAAAATAACAGCACAGCATGATGTATAGTTTAGTGCAATAACATAGATTTTAAAAATTTGACATTTCAGCATGCTTTGGCCATTATCTCTGAACACGATTTGCGATGAGTGACTGGTTTGGCTTGTCTTTGCCACATATATATACATGTATATTTTTCAATAATTATTTTAATTTTTTTTATTGGTTCTGAATATCATCATTTTTGCTTAAATTATCCATTACAATCACAGCAATTCCAAGTGGTTAAGACGAAGAAAACCAACAAGAGAAATGATTGACAGACTTAGACGTGGTAGATGTGTAAGGGAACATGCTCCTGTTCGAGGAGAATCTGTCCGGTAAGTTTATATATTTTTAAAGATACATGTAAACAGCATGTTATGTATTTTTGTACATGTAGGGTGGTTCTTTTTATTTTAGGTCTTTTTGTAAATGGGAAATACACACACACACACATATATATATATATATATATATATATAATCTGTACAATTATTTATTTGCATTGTATTTTAACAGAACAGAGATTATGAGTGCATCAATGGATTCTATCCTAGAGTATGACTCTAGTACCGCTAGTGAAGACGGTGCCAATACCTCCAATATAAGCAATGATGTTGCAGTACAATATGGACTTAATGAAGATGTTGAAATGGAGGATGCAGGTGACGTGGAGGGCAATCAATTGCTGAGAAATAAAGGCGACATACAGATGTAAGAACCATGAACACTCTTTTTGTAAAACTAAACTACAGAGGGTGGATTTATCAACTACTAGTACAATCACCATAAATTATTTTAACTTTAATTATAATTTTAACTGTCTGTAATATTGATAAACATAAAAATACATACAGTAAACATCATGTTTGCCTTCTAACAGCACAAGACCTAATACCAGTGCATCAATGGATTCCATTCAAGAGTGCCAAAGTAATAGCACTGATGACAATGATAGTGTTGAGCCAATGGAAATTGACGAGGATAATGAAAACGAACATGAAATGGTGCAAAATGATGTAGTTCCCCAGATAGATGAAAACAATGCAAACAGGTAAGATGAAAGTTTCAACGTCATTGATGTACAGTCCTTTTTAAATAAATGATTACAATAGCTTATTTATGTGGATAAATTATTAACATAAAAAAACAATTAGAAAATACTAAATTATGTTTTAAAAATTTTATTTATATTCAGGAAAAAGAAAAATGTCCTTCCGCCTTGCCCAGCATTGTGCAAAAAGAAATGCACAGAAAAAATAATCAAAGACCAAAGGGAAGGAATTAACCAAGAATATTGGATGTTGTCTAAGGAGCAACAACGAGTATGGCTCCTAAGCTATGCTGAGGCAACTGTTCCAAAACGCACCAACCCAAATGCTACCAACCCACGGAAACACACATACACATATTCGCTGATGAGTGAAGATTATGGAAATGTACAGGTATGCAGATCATTTTTCCTCACGACATTGGGATTCAAGTCCACTAGCAATTGTGTCATAACATGGCTTTTTAAGTTAATCGCTGAGCAAGGGACAGGGGTATATGCTCCTAAAGATGGACGAGGCCGACACGGAAACCATGCACACAAGCTTTCAGATGAAAAGAAAAAAGTCATAAAAGACCATATAATGTCCACCATCCATGCATTTCACATTATCGTAGGGAACATGCACCAAACAGACTTTACTTAACCGGAGCTAAATGTTACAGTGATGTTCGCCGACTTTAATGACAAACATCCAGGTGTTTGCAAGTACCAAACCTACCGGAAAATGATCAGAGACCTTAGTATAAGCTTTGCCCGTTTAGGAAAAGAAGAGTGTGAAATCTGCGAACACAAAAAAAATCATGATGTTGAAGACTGCGAAGTATGCATAAATTATGAGGCCCATTTACGAAGAGCAGATATTGCAAGGAAACGCTATAAGCATGACAAAGAGCAAAAATTAAATGAAAATGAAGTAATTGTCTCGGCTGATATGGAGAAGGTAATTATGCTACCTAGGATGGAAGGTATAAAGAGTTGCGTTTTCACAAGAAGATTAGTCCAATTTCACGAAACATTTGCACCGATTGGAAAAAGAGATCAAGCAACACCAAATCCAATTGGAGTGATTTGGAATGAAAGCATTAGTGGAAGAAGTGCTAGCGATGTTGCAAGTTCCAATATTAAATTCCTTGAAACACCAAATATTAGGGACAAAGAAAAAGTAGTAATATGGCTTGATAACTGTGGAGCTCAAAATAAGAACTGGGCTCTCTTCACAGCGCTAGTGGCAAAGGTGAATGATGACAACGCCCTTAAAGAAATCAGCTTGCGGTACCTGGAAACTGGTCACACATTCATGAGCTGCGACAGCTTCCATGCTAAAGTTGAAAAAGAGATGAAGAGACGTTGTAAAGTTTTTGATTCTATAGACTTTGAATCCATCATTACCACATGTGGACAAGCGGCTCCAATGAACTACTGTGATTTCTCAAATTATGAAAACTGTGTCAACAGTGCTGGATACACGAATAAGCCAACTCTCGCAAATTAAAGGAAGTTGTTTTCACAAGCGCAGAAACTTCAATAAAATGGAAGGAGTCTCATGAAGATGCAGAGTTCAAGAGGGGAGAATTTTTGAAGAGGAAGGTGATCGACAATATAATCAATAAGAAGCAATTTGATAAGAAACAAAAACCAAGGGGAATCGCCGAAGACAAGAAACAGGGAATTATTCGCAACCTTGTCAAATTAATGCCAGAAACCAGAAGAGCTTTCTGGAACAACATCCCTACTGATGCAGTTGAAGATTTGATTGTCGTACAATAAGAAAAAAGTATGCAAAATGTGTATTATTCTTAATCTAAAATTGTGCCAAGTGAAAACATTAACGCTTTATTCTACTTTACTACGGGAAATGTAATGGGAGCTGGCAGTTTGTGCACTGTAACGTAAGGAGCAAATATGATGAGAGAGCCTCTAGGCATGGCCACTGTCTATCTGCTCCTGCAATAAAGATTAAATTAAGAAAAATGTATTATGTAAATATTATCTATTTTTTAGGCATACTGAGTATTATATTTGCTCCTGTACCTAAAGATTAAATTAAGAAAAGTATTTCAGTTAGTTTCATGTTTGTGTTTACTAGTTGTATTATGTACATATTGTACACTTATTTTGGCATAAATGTTGGCATACTGAATATTTATTAAGGAGCATAACGCAATTAGATAACAAAAGAAAAGACAGTTTAATAATAATAATAATAATACATAAATACTGTGGTGACAGGTGTGCTTCTTGGCCAAAAATGATGGCATATTTCAAAAGTTTTACTTGGTACTAAAAAATAGTGTAAATTTTCCTCCATCCAGTACTTTGATTTGTTAAATAAAAAATATAATCACAATCTATAATAATGTGTTGTGGTTTTTACTTAGGAATTTGGGTGTGTGTATGGGGGGAGGGGGAGAGTGTGTATGGGGGGGAGAGGTGCCAAGGTGTCTGACAAGGGTCTTACTGTTTTTCAGTTGGTTTAAGAGTCAAAAGCCGATGGTCTGGTGGGAGAGCTGGGGACCATAAGTAATCTTTGAAATAATTTATACTCAACCCTACCATTACAAAGAATGGAAATTTATAATAAGTAAAAATTATAATACTAATTATGTCCGACAGAGAATGGGATGGGGACAGGCTTGAAGTAAAAGCAGTATTCTGACCCTGCCACTGAATGACAAATTTAGGTTATAGGCCTAGGCACTAACTAGGCGCACGCTGTGTACCTGTGTCGCTTACATAGGCAGGGCGATAACTTGACTCTGGAAGCCTTTTCTCGCCTAGGCCTCATGACCCATTAACGAACCTTCTAATCAGTGCAAAGAAAATATTACTTCATCCAACACATTTGAGCAGTATTATTATGTCATACTAACTGTTTTTAAATAATAGTTTGTAGTAGTTTTATGTACCTTTCTTTTGAATGCTGCAATTGAGTTAGTTCTGTCATAACAAATGCAGTTGAGTTGTTTCTTTTATGGTTTCTTTACATGTGATTGACCCGAAATGTCATGAAAAAACATTAAATCCGACATTTTAAATATTATATGTGGGTATTTTTTTTTAATATCCTACCCATTAAACAGGAGCTGCAAAATATACAAAATGGTGTAAAAAAAATAATCTTGTAAATAACGTATGAGGAGGGCTAGCCTTTGAACACGTTTTGTTGAATATCTCAAAACATTGATTGATGCAGTTGAGTGAGTTTTTCATGACAGGGCAGAATACTAATGATTGCCTGCATGCAATACGATAACTGCCGATGTTAGTAGCACTGCCGAAACATGTCTTAGGGGCCGTTAGGGCCATAATATACTGGATTAAATATAGGCTTCGCCTATGATGAAGATACGGTCTGTTGTGTTGTTTTTTGAAATATATATATATATATATATACACACACACCCACACACACGACAAGGGTCTTACTGTTTTTCAGTTGGTTTAAGAGTCAAAAGCCGATGGTCTGGTGGGAGAGCTGGGGACCATAAGTAATCTTTGAAATAATTTATAACTCAACCCTACCATTACAAAGAATGGAAATTTATAATAAGTAAAAATTATAATACTAATTATGTCCGACAGAGAATGGGATGGGGACAGGCTTGAAGTAGAAGCAGTATTCTGACCCTGCCACTGAATGACAAATTTAGGTTATAGGCCTAGGCACTAACTAGGCGCACGCTGTGTACCTGGTTTAATTACATAGGCAGGGCGATAACTTGACTCTGGAAGCCTTTTCTCACCTAGGCCTCATGACCCATTAACAGACCTTCTAATCAGTGATTATTCAGTGCAAAGAAAATATTACTTTATCCAACATATTTGAGCAGTATTATTATGTCATACTAACTGTTTTTAAATAATAGTTTGTAGTACTGTAGTTTTATGTACCTTTCTTTTGAATGCTACAATTGAGTTAGTTCTTTCATAACAAATGCAGTTGAGTTGTTTCTTTCATGGTTTCTTTACATGTGATTGACCCGAAATGTCATGAAAAAACATTAAATCCGACATTTTAAATATTATATGTGGGTATTTTTTTTAAATATCCTACCCATTAAACAGGAGCTGCGAAATATACAAAATGGTGTAAAAAAAATAATCTTGTAAATAACGTATGAGGAGGGCTAGCCTTTGAACATGTTTTGTTGAATATCTCAAAACATTGATTGATGCAGTTGAGTGAGTTTTTCATGACAGGGCATACACAGCCCAGGTGTGAATGCAAATAGTGAAATACAAGCTATGTGGCTCGGTTCCAGTAGATACAGAGAATATTTTGTCATTCTTAACGCATCCTACGAAATTCTTACGAGACAGCACTAGTCCGTGAATTTGTGAACAAGATCGGAGATCTAAAGATGCAATCTCTACCATGCATCAGTGGCGGCTTGCTGGATCTCAATAGAGATTCTTTAATAATATATAAATTTTAAAAGGCAAATGGGAAAAACCCATAAAACAGCAAACAGCCACATAAATACAAAACTATTTTAAATTAAAACGGAACAGTAGAGAAAATCCGATCAGAATGACAAAATAAACTAAGCATCCACTGGAAGGAATCCAAATATCTGCAGACGGATCCGTTTCGGCCTTCCAGGCCTCATCAGTGCAGCTAGGGTATAGACCCAAACGAAACGTTCGACCAGCTTAGGTAGGGCCCAAACTAGTCCCACGACCACTAATGATTACAGAGACAAACCAAGGCTCTGTCTGCAAACGGATCTGTCTGCAGATATTGGGATTCCTTCCAGTGGATGCTTAGTTTATTTTGTCATTCTGATCGGATTTTCTCTACTGTTCCGTTTTAATTTTAAATGGTTTTGCATTATGTGGCTGTTTGCTGTTTTATTGGTTTTTCCCATTTGCCTTTTAAAATTTGTATATATATATATATATATATATATATATCTTTATTTGGCTCTTAGGAGGAAACTCTTTTGTCTATGATTTCGCCTTAACGTCGCTTTAGTTTCCCCTTAGCGACACTACTTTCGCCTTAAATATACTGTTTTTAACCCACTTCATTGTTTTAGTTTCCCCCTATGGATACTTCTAAGCATGTATATATGTATATATATATTTTTTTTTTCTAGGTACAGAAGGTGGATATGGAAGTGTAACAGACTCACAGTAAGTGAAATTTTTAATTTATTTTCATTTCAACATCAAGGCATTCTCATCATTGTCATCATGATCCTTATTATTATGGTAATATTATTATTGTTTGTTCTTGTTCTTATTATCAATATTATCAGTATGCTAGTGTAAATATAATGAACTCTTTATATTCTGCATCAGCAGTTTTATAATATGTTTTTAAATATCACAAACCTAAGTTTGGAATATGATGTTAATATAAAATATAATATTCAAGTACAAGAATATCATAACTCCTTTTTGGGTAGTATTGTTTTTCTGTTTATTTTACAAGGCTGCATTGCATACTGAATTCCCTATCTAGAGATGAACATTCAAATATGGGTACCCCAGATATTGCAGATATTACTCTAAATGAAAAGAGGTATCACCTACAACACCACAGAAATTCAACTCAAATTACGATGAGTTTCAAAGAAGCATACATTCCCAATACTCTTTTGAAGAGATTAAGTGTGAGTATGAACTTAAGAAAGCACTCTTTTAAACTACTGGAGATCAAAAATTGCAGATACTTTAAAGGAATTTACCATTTAAATAATGTCATTATTATAAGATACTGAAATACAGTTCTTTACTAGAACTGATTGTATTAGTTTTTGAAAACCAATTTATTATGCAAAAATCAATCAGCCAATCAGTTATATATCAATCAGTCATACAAAAATAAATCAGCCAATAATCAATTTGTCAATCAATCAATCATACAACAATTAATCAGTCAATCAATTTGTCAATCAATATCAGTCAATCAATCAATAAATCAATCAACTATAAAATCAATCAGTTTCATGATTGTTTGGTTCTTACCATTTGAGAGTTCTACATAAATCTGGATATGTTGCTCGTTTTTTCTAGCTTCCTTCACACAAAGTGTGGTGCGTCTTCTTTTCACTTTCTGGTTCTCAAAAATAATTATCTGAGAAATTAGCCCATTGTAATTTATAGTATATTTTTAACTGTATTTATCATGTTACAGAATTCATATATTGCCAACCTAACTGCCGCTGAAGTGAAAGTGATGATGGACTCCACGGATATGAGCATTAATTCTGTTCAACACATCTTCTCTAATTTAAATCATACAGTGTTTCAGTACATGATGAATGAGGCTGCATCAGTAAGTTTAAACCAGTAAAATGTTATTCTCTGCTGATTTTCATTGCATTTGCATTTTATGTCACGGACAAATCAACTTGTTACTCCAACATGAATATAGTTACGCATATATGCACATGCTTCTCAAGATGATGTCAAACCATCAAGATTACTCGTCTCTAGCAGAGAAGTTGGCTAAAAGTTATTTGCTGCTTCTTGTGTTGAAGACCCTGGTTCAAACCCAGCCAGCGTTGGGTTTTAATGGAGTCGATCATCGCTTGGCTCCTCAAATAACCCTCGTATTGGGAGTTAGACGGGTTCAGGACAGTGTGTATCCGTACGTGTCTGTTGTTTTAGTTAAGTCGGGGGCTACTGGCCACCAAGGGCCCAGCGAGAATTTTTGATTTCCAATTAGAATGACAAGTAAAGAAATATTATTGTTACTATTATCATCATTAATATTATTGTTATTTTTATTGTTATTATTTGATAGGATGAGTCTGTTATGGACATTCCAGAGATGTATTACCACCCAATGATTGATGCTGGCATAAACCAGTTTGGACCAGTTTCCCAATGGACTCCTGACCAGGCTCTGATGATGAAGCCATTCCTCCAAGGACTCACTAAAGAACACATTAAAGAGCTGGGATCTGAGACTTTCCATTCTATGTGAGATGGAAAATAACTTTATCTGGTTGATCTGTCTTATTTTAATAATATGTACAACAGATCACCTTCCAATTCTAAACCCCTCTAATTCCAAGACCCCTCTATTTTGATACCACTAATTCTTCAAAGTACCAACTATCAATCTTCAATATTTTAACAAAACGCTTTTACCTCATGTTGGATCACCGAACCATAAGGACTCCACACATAAATCCCAACAGTGGTACATGGTTTATATTGGAGGGCAGACTTTATTATTAGTACATGTATTTAATACAATACAATACAATGCAATAGTTATTCATATTTATTATGAAATTTGATATCAAAAATAGACTTAAGGATGTTTTAAAATTGAATTCAGGGAAAGTCAAAAGAGTTAAAAAACAATAAGTGAATTAGCATTGACACGCGACATGGAATGTGAGACATTTTTTGAATGGGAAAACTGTTCTGAATGGGAAAAACTAATTAATCACTTATTTACTCTATGTAATAATTCATAAACTAATTAAGGGGGAAAACAGATATTCTTATTGTTTGGATCTGTTCTGATCCTTGCATGTTCTTGGTCTATCTTTTTCATTCAAGATGTGTCCAGCGTTGAAAGTTTACATCCTTTTGTACCAATTGTTTTTGAGAATAAAGAATGAAAGAAGTAAAGCTTGTACAGTTGGCCTACTAATTTATACTAATTTTAAAATTATAAATAATTCTATTAACTATAAGTGTGTATTCTGAGCATTGTTTTGAAATAATATATTTTCATCTCTGCTATAAACATGTATCACCCAATTCATTATTGATATTAATGCAGACTTCCATCACTGGAAGAGTTGTTGGAGGAGGAAGAGGATTCTGTCGAGCATTCTGTACAAATGGTAGTTATGCAGAAGTACAAAAAACTAAAGGGCCCTGTGATACGTTGGTCCATTGAGGATTTAGCCCAAGTCAAAGCTTTCATTACTACATTAACAAGAAGAGATATCAAGTCCATTCCTGATCAGGTGGTAAGTGATAATTATGAGAAAAGGGACAATGTGGAGAAATGTTGATAAAGGAAACAATCTTAGAGATAATCATCTGCAATTTGTTTGTATTGGTTACAAATTCTTTTTGCCATGCCAACAGGTTTTAACCTCTTATAGCGGATGATGTGTTTGTTCCATATATATTACAGATATACCATTTTTGTTACAATTTGCCATAACATGCATCAAATGATTTTAATTTGTATATTAAATAATACACTGGATCACTTGACTACCACTTACAAAGTACTAGTTAATCATTTTAAAGTCATAATATAAAGCTCACTGCCCACACTATCACATTTTATGTGAGAAATTTGTGTGATGTGCCCAAATATGGGCATGATGATGTTATATTACACCCAAATATGGGCATATCACAGTTATTTGTTGCATAAATCTGGGAGTGTTGAAAAAGTTTTAGAAATTTAAAATGTTAAAGATCCTGTCTTTTGTGAGGTAAAAAAAAATATAAAATTCAATCCCACATTTAAAATATTAAATAATTAAGTAATTTCTTATTGGACGGTAGGCAGTCTAAGTCTCAGTCTTGAGCGAGGCAAATGGCTGAGCGGTTAAGGCAGGGGCGCCGTGATCATAGCCAACAATATCAGCACGGGTTCACGGCCAGCTCGCTCCTATAGTTCTGGTGGTGGAACAAGTCTTCTCGGGTAAGGACTATAAACTGTAGGCCCAGTGTACATAAATGCTCATGTGCACTTAAAAGAACCCAGTACATCTTTCGAGATGAGTAGGGGGTTACCCCGGTGTACTGGTTCACTCGGCCCCTGTCATGGACAGATGAAAGTGCGCCGGTTTACTGGCTGCAGAGGCCATGAAGTGACCTTCAGCGGAGGAGAATGTTATTGAAAAGTGCAGCATCTAGTCCCGAGCGCATGGAGACCTTGTTTATTTGCGCTATATAAATCTATCTATTATATTATTATTTTAAGGATTTATGTTTCTTTAAATCAGCAAAAATTATTTTTTATTTCTTTATTTGTTGGAAGGTAGTAATTATTTTGAGGTTTCTCTCAATTTTTACATCTTTAATATTCTAAAGTGACTCTAAAGTTATCTATTGTTTAAATTGGTGTTTCAGATTGATAAGTCTCTTGACGTTGTTGAAAGCCGCTATATTGCCTCAAACCCCAAAATTGGTCGGGATTATCTAAACAGAATCACCAACCTGCCAACATGGAGCTGGTCAATGGAGAATGTAACACGGTATTCAAAATAACATTCAATAATATTATTCTGTGGTTTAAAAAAATGATCTTCATTAACATCATCTTTATGTCAAAATTACAATCATTATTCATCAAATCAGAAGATAAAATTTCACCTCTATTTCATCCATCACACATTGCACAGACGTTAGGATATTCAAACAAAACGTCACATACATCATCATCATCATTAGTAATCTGCATTGCTGCAGGTGCGTTTATGAGTTGAGATTCAGTTCCTCCACCGATCTCTTTGATGCGCTTTTCCTTTTATTTCTTCGTAACGTCCGATGTTACACATATCCATGAACATTTTTCTTCTTCTGCCTACTGTTCTCTTTACTTCCATTCTTTCTTCAATCACATTCTTTAATAATCCATTTCCTCTCGGTACATGACCAATCCAGCACATTCTTTTTTGCTTCATTATATTTAGTAAACATCATCATCGTTATTATATCTTTTTAAGTGCCTTTTTTATCAGTGCTAAAAATCATTTAACTTTTAACTATGAACAATCTAAATGTTTTGTTTGATTCAGTTTTGTCTTAAGCACTGTTCACACTTTCAAACTTTGTTGACAAAAACATGTGACATACCCAAATATGATATGATGACATCATATCATGACCATATATAGGCATATCATGACTATATATGGGCATACAATATTTTTTTTGTCAAAGAAAATTTGACAATCTGGACAGAACTTTAAATTATGTTATTACATTTTGTGTGACAGATTATGATGTGCCCATATATGGACATATTAATGTCATTTTACATCCAAATATGGGCATAAAATAGTTTATTTGTCGCATAAAATTTGATAATGTGGACAGAGCTTTACTTTATTATTTTATTTAATTTTTGAGTTCCTGTTTTGCCCATAGCCTGGGAGATTTAGTGCAGTTTGTGTCACCTAGGGACATGGCCAGGCTTCCTGCCTCTATAATCACCATGGATGTATTTACATCAAAAGTCCAAAAACAAGGAAAGGTACGTAAAAGACTTACAGGCCTGGTTTCCATTAGGCGTATATTTAATTTTTTAATTGATACTCTGTTCTGATACTAAATATAATTCCAGTGGCAGATCCAGAAATTTTAAATAGAGGGGCCCCAGGGAGGATTTTCACAGGTTTTGGGTGTGTACATCTCAGCCCCCACCACGGTGATGCTGAGGTGAGATTTATGACACATCTAGATGACCGGAAATGGCACTCTCAGACTTAAGTGGGGGGGGGGGAGGATTCCATGGATACATCGTTTTTAATGACAATCTGGTTACTTATAGCTAATCGCCTTTTCGTTTAAAATGTAACTTTTTATCACTGCATGCCTGTTCCAAAGTCAATGATGTGTTTTTTTAGAGTATTTGTAAAAGTCAGCTGAGCTTTTCCTTCAATTATATCCTGGGCTTTTGCCCAAGGAAAGGTGGGTATGTAAAATTGGGTGTAAAGTAGGAAGTTGGCTATATACCTGAAGAATATTGAAATGGAACCTGCTTGATAATTCTACTTTATTGACAGGAAAGTCGTCTGATAGCCAGGAAAGTTGTGGAGCAACGTGGGGACCCATCAGCCTGGAGCGCAGATGATTTGCGAAGTGTAGGTAGATCAGTTGGAGGCCTAGACGTGAAGGACATTGAGAAGATACCAGCTGAAGCAATTTTAGGTGCTATGGATGATCTCAACAAGGCTGAAATGTCTCCAAGACAGAAGAAAACTCTGTTAAAGAAGGTCAAAAGAAGGGACAGTGGAGTAAGCAAATACAATCTGAATTGAAATGACAAATAATCAAATGTATATCAAAAAAATGACATCATCATCATCATTATTATATCTTTTCAATTATTCTTTTAATTCTTATTTTGTGAAGGAATTGCTGAGATAGCAACGAAAGCTTTGAACTATAGTAAGCTATATTTTATTTCAAAGTTCAAATTACTATAAGAACCAAAATTATGATAAAAAATATTATTCTTTATATTATTTTATTATTGTTATTGTGGCGGCCTATTATTTTAGTAAAAGTTTTATATAAAAACATGATCTAAACTCATCTTTGGAATTTATAACACTGCACAAAACAAATCAGGGAATAATAATAAAACTAGAGGGCACTCAGAGAGAGCATACCTCATGCCACATCATAATTCCCCTCGGTATAAATTTCCCCCGCATCTTGTCCCCATAAAAAAAATTAGGCGTATATTTAATTTTTTAATTGATTGACTGATACTAAACGTTATTCCAGTGTGGTGGATCCAGAAATTTGAAATAGAGGGGTCCCAGGGAGGGATTTTCACAGGTAGTGGGTGTGCACAACCGTGGTGGGGCTGAGGTGAGAAAATTTATGATTATCGCACCTCTAGATGACGGGAAATGGCACTCTCAGACTTAAAATTTTAATATAATTACTTTTCTATTTTCTCCATTTTTTTTTTATTTTGAAAATTTTAAGGGGGTGGGGGGCCTAGTCCGGCTGGGGTCCCCCTTGAATCCGCCACTGGATTCCATGAATACATCATTTGTAATGACAATCTGCTCAATCTGCCAATAAAAAGGTAATGACTCAGAGAGAGCATACCTTATGCCACATCATAATTCCCCTCGGTATAAATTTCCCCCGCATCTTGTCCCCATAAAAAAAATATGGGGGAAAAAAAACAAACAAACAGGTAGACTCCTTGAGATTTCAACCCGGGGCTGGTAGTGTGGAAAACAGTCTATACCACTACACCAAACTGTTTTCACATATATCTAATTACTGGTCACGTGAGCCCGTATAAGCACAAACACACACTTCTATACGACAAACAGTTTTCGATCATTGTGTCCTTGACCTTTGACCCTGACCCTTCAAAATTTAGTCACTTCCAGAACTCTGGTAAAGGAACATTGTGACCAAGTTTGGGAAATTTCTGATAAAAACTGTTTCAAAAAATTGTTTTTTTGTTGATTGTGACCTTGACCGGCCTTTAACCCTTACCCTTCAAGAGTCAAATACTTTGAGATTTTTGGTCATGGATAATTGTGACCAAGTTTCTGATTAAAACTATATGGGCTGTACGCAACAAAATAAAAAAAAAGTTTTTCATTGATTGAGACCTTTGACCCTGACCCTTCAAAATTTAATCAGTTCTAGATCTTAGGTAAAGGATTATTGTGGCCAAGTTTGACGAATTTCTAATAAAAACTGTGGGCTGTAGGCTGTTCAAGAAATATGCCAACAGTCAAATAAATAGCTAAATAAAAAACCAGGCGAAAACAACCTGCTGGAGACCAAATTAGCTAAATATTTTTTTAATTTATTAAATTGTTTACAGTTGTTTTTTTGTAATTCAACTCATGATTATATTTTTGATATACTTTTAATAGAATAACTAAATAAATTTATACCTGTTCCATAGCGTTTATCAGCTGATGATATTAAGAATCTGAAAGGATTGAGCACAATGTTGAAGACAGATGAACTGAAGGAGCTTAGGTCAGAGGAGATTTTAGAAGCTGCTGATACATTCAGAGAAATTGGCAAAGATTTAAGCAGAGCCAAGAGAAAAGAAATTGTACAAAAAGTGAGCCTTGTGTTTTTTTTTATCTATCTCACTGTCCATATGTACATTTGTCCATTTTTTTGTTACTCCATCTTCTCATCTATTCATGTTTACACTATGTTTTTTTACACCTAAAAAATTTGAGTTTTTTTTTAAAGAAAGACTGATTTTCATTCTTATGCTGCCAGTACAAAATCTCATTTGCATAATTTTCACAAATAATAATCTTAATTCTTAAACAGCAGCCTAATAATTGTAAAAGTTGCATATCGCCCTCCAGCTTGAAACACCAAAACTCAAAAATATGTGAAGGTTTGAAAATGGTAAAAATCAAATAGGAAATTCAGATTACTCCAATGGGGACTCATGGCAGAGTCCAATCTCTTAATGATCAGCTTAAGCTCTGCCACACTATCAAATTTTATTTGATAAACAACTGATATTCCCATATTTGGGTGTAATATGACATCATCATGCCCATATATGGGCACATCACACAAATTTGTCACATGGTTAAAATTTGCTAGTGCTATGCTGCAGCTTTTTTTATATTTGATGTTTTTATTTTAAGGCATCCAAAGCTGAAAATGATGTTGGTACATTGATTGGTAGCTTGGGAGAGGACTATGTGGCAGAGATCCCATTGAAGTCTGTCAGGACAATGACCTACTCTGACATCACCAGTATGTCAGTGGCTACTGGGAACAACCGCAGCACTGGAGCAAGTGAGGTCAAATGGACTAGATCACAGGTATTTTATACTTTTATTGGCATACATGTCTTTCGAAAGGCCAAGGATTCAAGTCAAAGGCTGTCCTTAAATAACACTAGACGTTTTGTACCTTGTTTAGCAAATTCATTTTAACGGATCGGCAGAGGCGGGCAGAAAATACAAATATTTTCTTCTCATTTAGTAAAATGTTTTTTGCTTTTAGCAAAATGTTTTTTGCTAAAATGTTTCTATGTGGTGGAGGAAATAAAAATAACATTTTAATATTAAATGAAAACAAATATAGATTCTATCATTTGGTTGTAAATAAAGCAATGTTGCTATGTAATGTAATTGATAAATGTTTTATGTACTGTATTTAAATAAGGAATTAAAGATTATATATATATTTTTTACTAAAGTGCCACCTTTTCTCAGAGAATTGAGCAACACACAGTTCTAGCCCACTGAGACTGAGCGCTTCAAATATGCTTGTTTATTATAATAATAATTATTATTATTAATATTTTATATAAATATGTATATATATATATATATATATATATATATATATATGCGTATGTGTGTGTGTCATTTAAAATACATCCATAAGAACACACAAAAATACAGGGAGGTACTGTAGCAATATTTAGAATGTAAAATGTTTTTCNNAGATTTCTTATTAGATTTTATGGCAGGAGTATGGATACGAGTATACATTTGCATTTATAATTTTTTTATCAAATTTTATATGACAATTAGTATAACATCATCATGTCAAAATATGGGTCACACACATTTGGCACATAAAACTTGGTAGAGTATTAGATTTTCTTTAGCTATTGTGATACAAATGGAGAACCATTAATAGTGTCTCCATCTCTTCCCCTGTACAACAATCTTTATTAAGGCCAACTTACCCTGATATGACTGTGTTTGTTTGACAGAGCAAATCATTATATAGAAGTATTAAGAGAGGATTAGAAGAAATAGAAGGAGATGAAGTGATATTTACCACAGATATTATCAGGTGACAGATAAATGAGTAGGCAGATACAGTAGATGGATAAATACATAGACAGAAAAATCATAAAAAGAAAGAATTTTTTCATATATATTTTGGTTCGATGAGTCATGGTCGACAGTTGGGCTTGGTTTGCTAGACAGGGGATTAACCCTTCTGCCCCTGTTGATGCCAGTTTGTAGACACTAATGAAGGGGTTTATTATTTGATAATCTGTTTTGTGAGTTATGCAATGTTTTAAGAATAACCACCATGACCTCATATTAGTCAGTTGGTAGAGTAAGACAGTTCTTGGTACAAGTCCAGACGGGGATAATGTGTTTCCCTAAACCAACGTAAACCATAAAATACTGTAGACAGAAATGTAGAAGATATGCAGATATAGATCCAGTACATACAGACATGAAAAAAAAAATGAAATTAGATACATAATAGATGTATAATTAGTTGTTAAAGGATAATATAGACTATAGAGCTTGATGTAAGGATCAACTGAAAGCAAAAATGCATCAAACATTTTTTATGTACTTGTATGATGTTGCATTTTAGAACCTTGGGCACCATAGCTGCTGGCCTTCCTTGCGATGACATCCATAAGATGGCTGGAGATGATGTTGTTTCCTTGGTAACAGCTTTGATGGAACAAGATGGTTGGAATAACAAACAGGTAGGCATTTGATTTATTAGGATATATAATGATATACATTAATTTATGAATTTTTAAAAATTTTCAGTTAATTTTTAATACAAGTTAATAACAATAATATACATTTTTGTATTCTTTCCATATATATATTGTAATTAATTTCATTGTATAATGTTACATACAAAATATTGTGTTTTATCATTTTTTATATAAAGCACATAAAACAAGTGCAAATCACATTAATTTGTATTGAATATGTATACATATATTGATTTCTATTACTTGACCCCAAGATGCGCTGTATAAAGGATACAATCAAGGATGGTAATGCTGACTTTACATCAAGCCTGACAGAGGGTGACATCACAAACCTAGGTGGCAGGGTTCTCAAAGAATTCAGGTAAAGTAGTTGCAGTAAGCCGTTTTGTAGTTTTAACTACACATGTTTATGTCAAAGGTCAAGACATAAATATATACTTAACCTTTCTCAGAGGAGTCTATTAAATTAATGTAGATAATAGTCAATCTGTTGTGAGTGTATGTTGTTCCATATTAATATAGAATAAGCCTTGAAATTGAAAAAAAAAAGTAAGTAAACAATGTTCTCATTTAGTGTGGATGATTTAGGTAAGATTCCAGAGCATTTGCAAGGATTAACATTTGAACAGATTGGAAGCACAGAACTCACAGAAGATAAGAAGGAGAAAAGAAAATGGATGGCAAAAATCTCATTAAAAGTCATGGTAGGATGGTATATATATTAGACAAAAAAATAAAATTTGATTTATATAATAGTATTAATCAGCTTTTAAAAAATTTTTAGATGACAATCCTAATAAACCCACCTTGCAGAGATTGTCCAATTATAGCGCTGAGACAGGGTGCATTAGTGAATTTTTACCATTTACAATAACATTTAATTAGAATGTACAGTATAATAATAATTTAATTTTTTCCCAATAAAAAATTCCAATCAAAACAATCTATATTTAGGTACTGTATTATGATGTATGATAAAGGATTTTTTTTTGTTTTACAAAACCCAGTGTTATATCTAGGTATGCATTCTTTCTTTATTGAAAGCACCTTAGACCAAAGTTTTATCTTTACTACAGTTCTTAACAACAGATTTTTTCCAAACTCTGTTGCCATGACTACTAATTTTGTTGTTTTAATTTCTTTTAAGAATAAAACTGGTGACAAAGCCATAAACTCAGATGATCTCCTAAGCCTTGGTAACTTAACATGCAGTATGCCGGCAGAGGCCTACACTCGTATTGAAAACGAAGCTTTTAGCGAAAATGTGTACAGCCTGAGGGAGTGTTTCTTAGACCAAGAGCAAATGGGAGCAATACGCGATAAACTTAAAGATGTAAATGGGTATGGGCTAATATTTATTTATCACAAAACTGCCAACCTTTTTAAAATTTACTTAAATAATACAGTATATCATCAGTAATTGATATTACCAATATTGAGGATAGTGAGCAATTATTTATTAAAAATCATAATAATAATAATAATAATAATAATAATAATAATAATGGTGAACTTGCATATTGTGGAGACCTATGCTATCTATCTTTATGATTATTAATATTATTATTGTTATTATTATTATTATTATAATCATAAATACAATAATATTCATATAAAATCGTTAATATTCATCAATATAACAGCCAACAAACTTCTACTCAGTATCTGTCATGTTTTTTCTATTCAATTGTAGTGAACCTGGCATGTGGAGTAGTGATGCCATAGCAACCGCAGGCCCGCTCCTTGCAAGTCTTTCAGAGGATGAACTCATGCAGCTTGATCATGTGAGATATTTGGTTTTAATTTAATTTATTTTGGCCAAAGACCTTATAATTGCAAGATAGCGTTCTCCGCAATTTCTGATTAAAAATTCTGTAATAACGCAGTGTAGCTAGGCACCCTCACGCAAAAGTATTACTTTCAACTTTGACATCAGAAATCTTTACTAAAGATAGCGCATCTGCGTGCAAATTCTATAACAATCATGGTATCAACTAGGGCGGCATCTCACAAAAGTGATTGCTTTTTGTGCTTCTTTTTATTGAACATCTACGCTTCTATTTATTAGGTGTAGAATCACCGGCGGAGAGCGCTATCTTGTAATTATGAGACCTTTGATTTCAGCATAGTATACTGACATAACATTTACGAGGTGAACATCCTTTGAAATCAAGCAAAAACTGTTAGGAATACATCTGATACATTTACCATGGATTTTAGATCTTTGGTTGCCTTTTTGCCAACCAAAATGTATGGGGTGAGAATAGCTAACAGTGTAATATAGAATTAACCTTTGACTTATGTTTAAAAAATTATAAAATTATAAATAAATTACTGACTAATGATCCTGGTTTTCAAATGTCACTTTGCTTGGGCAACATAACAAATTTTCTTTTTTTTACTGGCCAGATGGTGATCGATTGTTCTGAAATCATTTGAATTTTTTAGTAAGTCATTAGAATGAATTACAATTTTTTTTAATTTTTAGTAATAGCCTGTGCACAAGGGGCACGTAAGCAGTGCTTTGAATGAATGAATATATGAATAAATGTAGTTTTGAACTTTTGAGATTTCCTATTTTATCAAGTAAATCTATTAAGTAAACAAACAAGAATATTTCAAACATTTTTTCATTAAATGTTGATTCTCTGCATCTTTTAGGCTAGTTTTTCATCAGTTGCTATGGAAACTCTAAATAGTTTCAAGGAGTTTAATGACCGGAAGGCAAACCGTGTTATTGATACTGATGAGGACGATGAACGAAAATGGAAGCAGGGGTTTACAGGTGTTGCTATTCGAACAAAAGATGCACTTGTGGCAGACACAGAATCAGCCTTAAGGAGGAAGAAGAGAGGTAAAAAGAAAAATCTTTAATTTAGAAGCATGTAGAAATGTGTTATTTCTATTTCACCACAAGCACCACCAACATGTTAACATGTTGACTGCCAGACCTTTCTTTTAGGTTCCTTCCTATGTGCCAGAACAAACATACATGTACATACTTTTTTTGAAATTGTATCTAGTCATATATCATCAAAATGATGTGTCTAATATATTGGCGGGAAAATATGAGGGGACAAGCTTTTATTGTCTCTGTCAAGTGCGAGTTTTCTCATCCTCTTTTTGCATGGGTTGGTATTTGTTCAGAGGGCCTGTACTGCCTGCAAGGTAACACAACAAACGTACATCCATTATTTGTACGTTATCATCTACGTATATCTTCTTCGAACTACCAGCCGTTAGTGTGTGGACGTTCTACAATGTATAACAAAGAAGTAACAAACGCTAGAATGTTCCCCCGTTTTTGACGAGTATAGTCATCCCTAGCGCCCTCAGCAACATCCTGTGGGACGAGTATACACGTCGCTGGCAGCCAACATATTAATTTATTCATTCTCCATTCCTCTGGTCATTTCCCAGAGGTTGTTCATAGCCCAACATGTGAGGAGATCCTTGACCTTCAGGATGGTAACATAGCATGGACTGTTCAGGAGCTGGAAGTCATCACCACTGATACATTTCAAAACTGCTTTGACACTCTTGGCAGTGTCAGTGGTTTTTCAGAGGATCAACTGGATGTGCTGCTTAACAAAGCAATAGAGGTTTGCTTTCTTTTTAGTCCTTTTCTCTGATATTTTTTTTTTTTTTTTTTTTTTGTTTTTTTTTTTTTTTTTTTGTATTTTTGGTTTTGGATTGAAAGATTAAAAGGATGAATTTGTGTATTCAGTGAAGTACTTTTCTGGGGTGAAGTTTTATAGCTTAGGGTTAAGGTGATTGCCTTCTAATCCCAGGGTTCTCGGTTGAAATCCTATGAGAACAGGATTTTTTTTCCCAACTAAAAGCAACTCCATTCTCTAAGCCTCATAAAGAGATTGAAAGCATTTTCTATTCTGTAGTTGATGGTTAACACTTGCTGTTGGATGCGAATAAAATAAATATATATATAAAAATACAACTAACCATTGCAACATTTAGTTTATATAATAGTTGATAAAAATAAGTTATTAATATTAAACCTGATTGGCAGAGTACTTTTTGCATCATTCATAGTTGCGTTTTCTCCATAGACTTGGGGATCTGTTAGAAACATCTCCTCTGATGATATCGCACTACTTGGTCACATAGCAACCCGCTTCACTCCGGAACAAATCAGTGCATTGGATTTGTCAGATATTGATACGCTGTACACTGTTGGTCAGTTTGATGGCTGGCAAACAGTACAGGTAAAGATTTAAATATGATTGTTATCATATCTTAAATTTACCATTGTCTTAATATTTATCTTTTAAATTTTTTAAAACTTTTGCTGTGATTGTCTGTTTTTTGTTGTAGCTTGAGAGTGGGCTGAATCGATTCCTTCAGTTGAGTGGATGGCACATCTCAGATTTGAATGCCACAGATCTCACTGGTCTTAGCAACTTCCTCTGCGGAATGTCTTTGGATCAGATGCTGGATATCTCATCTGAAAGTTATGGGTGAGGATAATTTTCATTACTACGTACTGTAGCACCCACTAACCACCAGTCTTTCAAATATTGAATATAATGGCTTAGAGTAAGTAATTGGACCCAGTAATTTTTTCTACTCAGCATTATAACATTTCTACCCCTATTAAAGCAGGATCGGAACCGAGCTACCCATGATAATAATAATCATACAATAATAATAATAATAATAATAATGATAATAATAATAGACAAATGTCAGTTTATATAACAGTAATGTATCAACTTCTTATCTGTATTATTATTCCAGTCATAGATGAAACACCTATGGAATTAAACTCCTGGAGAGTACAGTATTCTTGTTACTTGTTTTCCTTACGGTCAATAAGTCGAAAGTCCTCTAATCAAATCTTGTATCCTGATCAAACCCAAATTGAGCATGCATAACTCAAATAATGCAATGATGCAGGAAATCCAGCAATTTGGTTCAATAGTTGAATAATAAACAAAAAACAAAATATTGCTCATAGACAAATATGGTGATCCTTTAAAAATTGAAGGTATGAATGCTATAGTAGGCAGTGCTCTGGAAGTACCAATTATTCTGCTGGGAGTGAGACAATGGGGACAAAGTGCTCTGCACAGACATATACAAATGATCATAACTTTGATTTGAAACTAAAATTAGGTACCACAAACTTTTCTACATTGGAACTTGCTGTAATTTCTCAAGACATATTTGAATGCCAAAACCTTAATCTCATTCCTGAAAATGACCCAATAAATTTTGAAACATTGAATCATGGCCTCCCTCTCTTTATTTGGAGTAACGTTCATTCTATGTAATTTTTAAACATATAATCGTGCATCTGTTGGTTAATCTAGCATCTTAAAACTTTTTTTCTTTGACCTTAGTGGAGCCTCATCTGATATTGGTAAATTATCCACATGTACTCACCAGCGATTGTCTGTATTAAAGGACAAAGCTGTCGATGTGTATGGGGAGATTGCATCCTGGCTTCCAGAGATCTACACTGAAGTCGGCACTGTTGTTGGTAAATACCCCAAATAATATTTAAGCCCTATTAAAGTTCCTTCAATGCATTTTACATGCCAATGCTGCTGTTGTAGACATATTGTTCTGTTATGAGCTGCCTGAATACATTGGTTTCAGAGAGTAACAATGGCAGAGAATGTATATAAATAACAAAATCAGAAACAGCACATTAAGATAATGACATACTTTATGTTTATTCCCCAAGTTTTAAACTATTTAAATTATCTGGCCGCTTTACATGGTTATATATATTGCATTAGGATGAGTAACAGGATTTGAGAGCCTTTTTTGTTAGGATTATGTTCTTTAATTAATCACATCCTATTATTTTTCAGCTGGTTTTTCTTCTTCTGATTTTACTCACACTGGAGAAGAGACTCTCGCTGGTGTGCTACCTGAAGCTCTAGCGTTGATTCCGTCCGACACATTCAGGGTATGTAGACATTCAGAGGGTAAATAGACATACTGTACAGTGCTAGAAGGGTATGTAGAAATTTAGAGGGTAAACAGACACACATGGGCTTGAAATTCAGTGTGTTCTTTATTTATTTATTAAAAAGTCAACAAAACTGCCCAAGAGGAAACCATGGGCTAGGGCCCAACACAAAATTGGGAACCTCTTCCCATTGTATTGATTAATTTTTTTCTTTCTGTGTAGTGTTTTTTAAAGTGTTGCAGTTAGTCTGAAATTTAGACATTTCATATTCAAACTTGGATTCCATTTATAGTCATATCAGAATACAGCCACATGAAATGGTAATATTACTACTGAAATATAACAAACATTACAAGTTATGTATTTTTTTTAAGTATCATATGAGTATATATGTATAACTATTGTGTTGAACAAAATTACAACTGACATCTATTATTGAAATTTTTTTTCTTTTATTTAATAAACCTCTATAATGGGGATAGGGGTATGAGTATAATATATTAGCAAACTGTTGTTTACTATTGTTATTGACTATCGCTCATTTAAGTATTGGTGCTGTTTGCTATCTTCTACATTTGTTTTTGGAACAATTAATATTTCATGGTAAATTCTGGTAGGAGAAAATGTAATGGGATTTTAGTGTATTTGATTATTCTTCCTTACTTCATGAGCGTCATATTTGGCAGATACCGGCGCTATTTAAATGTTCTATTCTACTTTGGACCAGGGGCGGATCCAGAGATGTCCAAAAGGGGGGGGCCGAAATTTGGGCCGATCGAGACAACACCGAAATAGGAAGTCCGGGGGCATGCCCCCGCGAAATTTCTGTGTTTTAGATGCCCGAAAATAACATTTGAGGCGTTCTGGGCTATCGTTTTGTCTTTTTCTTCCTTTTTTTTTCTCTTTTTTTTTTTCTTTTTTTCCCCCCCCCCCCACTAAATCCGCCACTGTGGACACTCCAAGTTTAGACATTTCACTCATTGTCCTATAAGAATAAAAACATGAAATAATATTTCTCGTGAAAATAAAAGTAATTATTATGAGTATCATAGAAGTTAAAATTATTTTCCATAATGTGAAACTATAGCACTAAACAAAATTACATCAGACATCTTAAAGATTTCTTAAACTGTTGTTTCTCTTCCTATGTTTAATTTAATGTTGTTTTCTTTCTTCTATATATTGTATATATTAATTTACATACAGTGCTTCCTCCAATTTCAGACCACTTTGGGACCTGAAAATTCAGGGTGGTCTTAGGGTTCAGTCACCAATTAGAGGATTAGCTTTGTTGAAAGATTGATGGTTGTTATTTGGTTTTTTGAAAAAGTGGTCTCGAATTAGACGGGTCTCATAATTAGAGTCGTCTCAAATTGGAGGTCTTGCACTGTATATTTGGAGCAAGCAATTATACTGCCATTGTAAATTCCGGGAGAATAGATAGATGCGATTTTAATGCTTAACAACCATTCCAAATTGTTGTTCTACTTTTGTAACTTAGGATGTGTTCAGTGCTGAATTGGTTGGTTATTTTGATCAATACCAGGCCCAAGCCATCACTGCTGAACAGCGATCAATGTTGTCAAGTAGGGTGCTGGACTCGCTCAATGCTGCGGAGTATGGTGGTGATGCTACAATTCTCTCACAGG